CCGCTGGCCCCGACCCTTGTTGGGTGCCACCGCGGTAAATCCAGGAAGAAACGTGAAGAGTTTGGATAAAACTTGAAAAAGCACGTCCCTCCGCCCTCCCGCCTCTTCAGTTTTTATGGAAGTTTATCCGGGAGAAGCGGGAACATAAAGGCTTGCCCAAAAAGTAATTTGTTTTGACTGCAAGGCAATTGAGGAACAGTTTATTTTGGGACGAGAGATTTGGATTCTGAGGAACTTCTTCACTGGGAGCTTCCACTCAAGTCAGAATAAATCCTTCTGGGGGATAGATTTATGGGGTTGATTCATAATGTGTGTCACATCTTTGAGACCGTTAGTAGACTACAGGCATTTTTTAAGGCTGTTGTCAAAGTTTGGGCTCTTCTTTTTTTGGCACTTTCTAAAAGCCATTGGAATTGGTGGCCAAACCACAAAATTAGCTTCAGTAACAGCCTGATCGAGCCCAAAGGTCTGCAGCCACTGGAAAATACAGTTACTTAAAACCAAAATCGCATTGCTTCGAGCATGTGACTTGCTTCACATAAATTTATTCTTGAGCAGAAAACTCGCACAGAGCTCAGGTACTACACATTTTTTTCTTTTTTTCTGTGAATGTAATTATGATGTCTTTGTGTTAGTGCTCATCTTTGGGGTTAGTTTCACTTTTAATAATTGGCATTTTCGGTGATTATTAAAGTTACGACTTCAAGCTGCACTTTTCATGTCACAATCAGCTAAGCTAAGCAGACCTCTCCAGCTGTCCCTTTTCTGTTGTTAAATATATGTACCCACAGTGACATAAGCAATGACTTTTAAGTCATTCTTAATGTTAAAATATGAAGGACAAGGAAGCGGCTACTAAGCCAGCAAGAGCAGGCACTTTAATGGTCTGTCTAACATAGCAAAGAATTCTCCAAATGCCATGAAAATTAAACACAATACCAGATTAGGAAGCAGATTTATAATATGTGGTACAGGATGGCTATAGTCAGGGCCTATTCTTACACTCTGATTTATGATTTTTTGTTAAGAGTAAACAATACGACACCATCATCATTGTAAAAAAGATCCAGTGCAGTAGTTTTTAACCTTTTCTGTCTGTGCTTTCTCTTAGAGATATTACAGAAGTATATTGCTGTATAACATTTAAGAACTTGCTTTTCTTTTAGACCTGTCACAGACTGCTTAGAAGTAATCCGTGGACTTCAGAATTCATTCAGTGTTCAGCCACTGGTTCAGCATAAATCCATTTGTTACCATACATGTAATCTGAGAACCAGTGCTCTAATTTTGTTCAACAAAACATAGACATCTAGACTGAAGCGACATATAAATAAACTAGTTTCCCATCATAGTCAACAGTGAGAAAAAAATGTTTTAGGGAGCAGATCATCTCATTCTGAATCACAAGTCTAAAATACGTCAGATAGATTGCACTCTATTCTCTTTTTTGTAAGGGTAGCGTTAGGCAAGAGAAATCCTTGTTACAAAGGGAGAGGTTACTGGTGGAGCGTGAGGTAATGCTGTGTTAAGCTGTTGTGCCGGCAGCAGGTAACATCTGCCATAGAGGGAAAGCAAATCCAGAAGTCATGGGTTTGGGAATCTGGGAGGTAAAGGCAGATGTCAGTTAAAGATGGCTCCAGGAAGCATGAACCAGGAAGTGAATGTGCAATTGGAAGGGGAGGAGGAGAAGAGCTGCAGAAGGACAGGTGAAGAGATCTGTGCTAACTAGTTCTTCAGAACAGCTGGGCTAGAGATATGAAAGGTTCAGGATAAAAAAGTGAGGCAGCCTTTGTTGCAAGGTGAGTGGATTAGGGGTAGCCAAGCAGAATTTCTTGGGGTTTTGCCTGAAATTTATTCCTGAACCCTGAATAAATTGCCCAGTACACAATGTAAGGGGGGCAACACTAAGGGCAACAGGAAGGAGGTTCAAAAAACCCAGAGGATCTGCGTGCTATATAAGCATCTCAGAGGAAAGAAGTGA